CCGAAGTACATTAGAAGGTGGAAACATTATTAGACCTGTCCAATTCAGCTGAAACTTCTCCTCCCTATCATCCCAGTTATACCTCTGTAGAGATTCTTAGCCACCCAGGTCATGGTTGTTCCAAAGGTACTTTTTCAGTAGGCAATTTTTTTTCCAGGATGCTTGCATTGCATTTTGGGGCATCACAGTGCCCCCACACCCCATTTTGGCTTCCAGGTTGATGCAGGCGGTTTTCCAGGCCCAAAACGGGGCATTTCAGGTTGGTGCAGAAGGCCTTCCGTTTTGGGCCTGGAAAGTCTCCTACACCAACCTGGAAGCTAAAAATGGGTGGAGGGGAGATTCATGTGTGTATGCACGGGGTGCACATGGGAAGGTCGCGCATGCATGCACGGGGGCATGGGACGTACATTGCAGCTTTCAGCACGTGATGAAAAAAAGGTTAGTCATCACTGTTTTAGAGGGTCATTGAAGCATCCGCAGGACACACTTGGAAGTTTATCGGTATCCTACGGGTGCTTCAATGATCCTCTAAAAGGATGCAAATGTCCATCTGTCTGCAAAGAATATAAATCCTTCCATTTCCACTATCCTGTCAGAGCTGAAGAAGCTTCCTGGATAAGAAGTGAAACATCTTCAAAAGAAAAAAACAAGACAGTTCAGTTGCCTCCTGAAAAAGCACTTTTGGGACACCCTCAGTTATAGTAATCTTTTGTGGAAGTCCATTTGCAATATAGGGTGCAATAGCTGGGAGGGAGTATTGGAGCATTCAAAAATGTAAGAATTAACTCTTTGTTTCCTAGCTGCAACCGCATTTCCCATTCCAAATGTAATAATCGAAAAATTGAGCAAATCATTATCTCACATCACTCCGAAAATATTTTGATAGATGGTACCATACGATACAAGTAACACACCTCTCTATGATGAACAGTGCTACCAGTGGGATTTGCAACGAGCCTTAATGATACCAAGGCAGTATCATGGTTGTCAATGTTTCATGACAAAATTGCACAAATAATGTAATAATGCAATGAAGTCATAACACCTGATGCAAATATGTCTGTAGGTATCCCACTCGTAAGTGTGAGTGGGTTATCCTGCATCAGCACCTGGCAAGCCATTGCAAACAGTTTATTATTTCTCCTGTTCTGGCTATTCATTTCTGTTTGTTTTATTTTATTTATAAATTATATTGCTAGTTAAATTAAAGATGGGTGATGACTTCCACTGAGTATTTTAGAATAAATGTTCTCGATCCAAAGAAATATAGATACAAGAAATAAAGATAATAATTAAATATTGAACCAAACAACCATTGTTATTTTAATTTCTTTATTTTTAAGATAAGTCAATTTCATGCCAGGGAAATATTCAGCAATTATTAAATATTGCTATTATTTCCAGTGACAGTTATATCAGAGGTGATGATATCAAAAGACCTGTAATTAGAGAGAACACAATGCTCTTGGCTATTTCCATGAAAAAACGTTAACAGAAAGAGATTAAAAATCTTTTTCAACATACATACAAAATACAACATTATTTGTATTTTCATTATTGGCTCTTACAGATGCATGAATATTTAGTTGTTTACAGTATGACATAACCCAAACTCAATATTTGAGTTAGTAAATATTCTTCTATGAGATTTTTGTTACTTTTTATTATCATCATTAATATATATTATTTGAATTACCAGAGATAATGTAAAAGTTTGCCATCTGATATAATTTCTCTCTAATAACTGGTGCTCGTATTCAAAGTGACTCATGCAAACACAGAGTAACTCTTATATTCAAATGTTAAGTGTTTTGCAAATCTCTTTATAGTTGCAAACGGTGAACTGTGCGATATATTTTAGTACATTGTGCAGAAAAATGGACTGGAAAAACACTCGCTAGATACATCCATGATTAAAAGTTGTACAGGATATGGGGATAATTACTTACAGATTTAAATGACGGCCTTGCAATGCCACCACATTTTTGTGGGGCACATGTCCCAGCTCCGCTCACCTGTCCTTCAGGCTGAGGGGCCTATGGGGCAATTAGGGTTAAGGGACAACACAGTGGCAAGTGGGAAACAAAAAAAGGTAAACTTTTGATGCATTAAGTATTAAAGAAGATTTTAAATGAATATATAATCTTCTCAAGTACTGTGTCAGAGGTGAAAAATTAAAGTTAACGGTTAGAAAACACTGCTATCAAAATTTTATTTTCTTTATAGAACAACCTATTATTTGTACTAGATTCTTCAGATTTATTTCTTTCACAAATATGCAACAATATTAGATACTTCTTAGACATATTAATAAGCCTGAAATTCATATTATTTAATGGGCAGCAATTGAATATCTTAGAAAACTCTCTTGCTTGGGACTTTTTACTGAACCAACTATTACTTTGCTGTTAAAATCTTTATAGAAAATGTTTATGAAATTGAATTGCGTTTAATGTTTATTTGTGAAGGGATGCTACATCTCAGTAAAATATAGGTTGCCCTAGTAACTTTAGATAACTATAAGCTAGTCTCCAATCTTTCCTTCTGTGTAAAAGTTATTAGGATGTTTTTCTATGGTTTGTAATTAAAGAAAACACTGGAGGACACAGTTTATCAGGACCCTTTTCATGATGATTCAGGCCCAGACATGAAACTGAACCCACATTGATTACTTTTCTTTCATTCTATGGCAAGAATGGGATATGGATGTAATCCCTCTGATACTGTGTTTTCTCTTAGTTGCTTAGTTGCCATTGATCATAATATTTTTCTGGACCACCTGCAAAGGTTAGGAGTAAGTGGCACTGCTTTGTAGTAATTCTTCTTAAATGGGCAGCTCCAGACATTGGTGGTGGGGCTCTCTATTGTGATATGCTGCAGAAGTTGACACCTTGTCTTCTCTTACTTAACATCTACATGAAGCTAATGGTAATGGTCATCCAATAACACAAAACAGGTAGTATTGGTGTGCAGATGATATTCAATTGTGTACCTTGACTCCAAACAAATAGAAGATATGACACAGATTTTATCCCAGAGCTTGGAAGCCATAAAAGTTTGGATGGGAATAAACAGAGTCTGGTTCAATGTCAACAAGGGGAAATAGCTTTTTGTATAGAAGCCCTCCAATTCCAAAGGTATTCTATCTCTGACTCTGGATGGGGCTGTACTTCTCATTCAGTGTTAATTCATAATATGGGACTCCAGCTTAAGAGCAGATGGCAGCTGTGGTTAAGAAGGGCTATTACAGAGCTTCATCTTGTGTAACGATTATAGTCTTTCCTGCATTAGTAGGCTTTGCTCATAGTCACTTAACCCTTGGTTTCCTCTCAACTAAATAATTAAATTATTGCACAAGGTGGCCATTGAAGACCACAAATTTCAATTGTTTCACAATAAAGCAACTCAAGAAGTTGGATGCCCAACAGTCTACCCAAGGAACATGTCTGCTTTGAGAGCTACACTGCTTATCAGTATTGTTCTGAGTACAATCCAGGATGTTGATTGTCACCTTTAAATGCTTGGCATCTAGGAACCACCTTCTCCCAGTAATCTCTGCCTATCTTTTGAGATCTGAAAGTGAAATTGTTCCAGTGGATTTCACAGGCTGTGGGGTAATTTTTGTCATACCTGATGGTTAAATGTAAATATGGGTTGCAGTTGTTTTTCAGAAACCTGGTGATTTATATTAAAATATAGCTATGTTTTTAATTTTTAATTTCATTACTATTTGTATCACTCAAAGACATATATGACTGAAGCAGCATGTAAGTCCAGTAAAATAAATAAATAGAAAACTGAAAATAGGATTGTAGAAGGATTGTTTTATGATTTGCTAGTATTTTCCTAATGAATTGGTTATTTTCCTCTGAACAGTTTCGGTATGTTAAGTAATTATATTAATTTATAAAGGCAACAATGAAATACACAAAATAGAACTATAGATATTTATAACCTGTGTAAAGATGAGAGTCTCAGAGCTTCTGCTGTCCAAGCTGAGTACAAATCTGATGGACTGGAAAAGTTCTTGGATGCTAATTCTAAATTGTTCCTCCTCCATTCCACAAGTAGCTCTGGAGTAAAGGATCCGAGACTGAATAATAAACTTGAAAAGATATTCCAATGCCTTCAGAAACAGAAATGGAATCAGGAAAACAAAGAACAAGGGGTTTATAAGAGCGGAAAATTAAGTACATTATTAATATTCAAATTAATATCCTTTATGTGAAGAATATTACTATTATTATTAAACTTATTTGCTGCCAATCTCAGAGTTTGAAGCGACTCTGAGTAGTGGGCACTCCATATTTAGTTAAAAATCAATAAAATGAATCAACATTTAGCATTCTCCTCCAAGAAACTATTTGCAAAAATCGCAGTTTCAAAGTATTTGCAAAAGAAAAACATACAATCTATTGTTATATGGCAAATTATGGCCTAGTATTCTTTATCTTTGGTACCGTGTTTCCCTGGAAATAAGACAGGGTCTTATTTTCTGTTGTCCCACGAAATATGGCCTTGGGCTTATTATAGGGGGAGGGCTTATTATTTTGGGGTTGCCAGGCAGCTGCTCCCTTGCGAGCGGGCTCCCGAAGAGCCAGGCACAGCCAAG